AGATAATCAACCAAAAAATAAATTGAGCTCTGATTTGTAGCATTTTGCAGAGATTTCTGTGTTGTGAATAGTCTCACCCGGCCAATTCCAAGTTACCTGTGTGATGTCACCAAACATGGACTTGGGAAGAGATTTGCAGTAACACAGCATTATGTAGAAGAACTTCTAATCCACAGTTAAGACATAAGTAACTTCAAAAGAATAAATAATAGCACAATATAGTAAAATAGTAAGTGATGAGCTTTAAACATTTATTACTTTTGTTTTTAATATAATTTATGTAATTGTAAATTTATATAACTGAATTTTTAATTCTTAGTTTTTACGGCAGTAACATAAGATTCCAACGAAGGGGTGAGAAAAATGCAAAGGAGAAAGGAGGGGAGAGACACCTGTCACTTGAGCCTGTGACATGGGCGAGGCATTCTTTGCATCAGCTTGCTTCATTTACCGGAAAGTATTATTTTCCACAATTTACAAGAGAAGAAAATATGCCCCTGTGTTAGGTGGCTTTTCCTGAGGTCTGAGAGTGAACTGCAAAGTTCCTGCTCTTTCTACAACACTGTGTGTCTCTGAAAGTGAAGCAACTGGGGTGAAGAATTTAAGCAGCACTAGAGACCAGCACACACACCATAAAAAATACAGGAGGGGGAATGTTATGCTTCACATTGCCCGGCTTTTGATTGACTCATAAAATCATTTCATATTGCTCCAAAGGATTAAACAACAAGTAAAAACAATGAAGAATTGGCTCCATCCTTGTCATCCAGTAGTGTTGGTAAGAGAGACCAAAAGAGCTGACCGTCTAAGTTAAGTCCAAAAAGAATATTATGAGAGCCACATAAGCACATTTAAGTTCTCTAGTAGCCACATTAAAAACAAAAACAACAACCACAGAAAAAAAGTGGGGGCACTAGCTGATTAGCTCAGTTGTTTAGAGCACCACCTTGTAACACCAAGGTTTAGGGTTCGGATCCCCGTTCTAGCCAGCCACCAAAAACCAAACAAAAAACAGTGAAAAGAAATAGGTGAATCGAGGGGCCTGCCCGGTGGCGCACCACTACAGTGCACCGCTTGGGAGCACGGCAGCGCTTCCGCCGAGGGTTCGGATCCCACATACAGACCCGTTCCCGCTCACTGGCTGAGCGAGGTGTGGGCGCAGCACCGAGGGTTGCGATCCTGTTGCCGGTCCCGGTCCGGTACGGGCGCGACACTGAGGGTTGTGATCCATTGCCGGACACGAAAAAAGAGACAAAAAAAAAAAAAGAAAAGAAATAGGTGAATCGAAGTCTTCAAAATCAGTGTGTAGTTTACACTGACAGCATGTTTCGACTCGAATGGGCCACATGTTGAGTGCTTAGTAGCCACATTTGGCTTGTGGCTGCCGCATGGAGCA